GAGGGCAATGGTGAGCTCAGTGGGGCAGCGAGCTAGGAAGTGGTCCCTGACTGAGCGCAGAGTGTCAGGGAGGCGGGTGACTAGGTGGTAGAGAGTGAGCCAGAGTGGGGGTGGGTTCTTGGCAAGGAACTCATCAAGCATGGTGGCGCGGAAGCGAGCCTCACTAGTGCGGAGGTGTGTAATGAGGTCAGCGACTGTGTGGAAAGAGGCTAAGTCGGGGAACAGGTAGGGAAGAGAGAGACGGCCTAGTGCGGCAGAGGCCGGTGAGGAGTAGCGGGCAACGACAGCAGTGTACAGTGCCTGTGCAGTGTGCTGCCCAAAGTGCTCGCGCTCATCTATCGGCAGGGAGTTGCGAATAGGGAAGCGAGCGTGGGCGTCACGAGTCTGCCACTGTGAGCGGGCAGTGCTGTCAGCAGTAGCAGTAGAAGCAGGAGCATGGCCTAGGGCGTGATCGTACAGTGAGATGTCCTCCTTGGCAGTGAGCTGTAGGAAGAGGTGTAGGTCATCTAGCCAAGTTTCGAACTTCACTGGGCGGCCCTCAGCATCGAAAGCCAGTACAGGAGGGCTAGCCATAGCAGTAGTAGGAGTAATAGTAGTAGGGGCACCCCAAAAACAGTAGGCAGTGCGACTCAAGTAGGGCGGCTCGGTCCAGTACGGGTGGCGCGGCTCGGTTCAGGTAGGGCGGCGCGGCTCGGGAAGGGCGGCGCGGCTAGGTTCAGGCGGCGCGGCTCGCTTTGGGCTGGGCGGCTCGGTTCGAGCGGCTCGGTTCGGGCTGGGCGGCTCGGTTCGGGCGGCTCGGTTCGGGCAGGGTGGCTCGGTTCGGGCTGCTCGGGTCGGGCGGCTCGTTCTGGGGGGGGGGGGCGTTCGGGGCCTCTAGGGGCGAGCGCGGGGCCGTAAGGGGCCGCTAAGGGCGAGCGCGGGGCCGATCGGGGCCTCTTGGGGCGAGCGCGGGGCCGTAAGGGGCCGCTAAGGGCGAGCGCGGGGCCGTTCAGGGCCTCTAGGGGCGAGCGCGGGGCCATACGGGGCCGCTAAGGGCGAGCGCGGGGCCGTTCGGGGCCTCTAGGGGCGAGCGCGGGGCCGTAAGGGGCCGCTAAGGGTGAGCGCGGGGCCGATTGGGGCCTCTAGGGGCGAGCGCGGGGCCGTAAGGGGCCGCTAAGGGCGAGCGCGTGGGCCGACGGGGCCTTAAGGGGCGGCGCGCGAGTCGCTAAGGGGTGGGTCGCGGGTCGCAGGGCCTTAGAGGGCCGTGAAAACCGAGGCGCCCTAGGGCGCAGGTAGGTAGGTAGGTAGGTAGGTAGGTAGTGGTGGGCCCTAAAAAATCGGTCCTAGGAAGGACCTGCTCTATACCATGTTGAAATGAATGAACAGGAATGATTGAACTAACAGTGAAATCAGTACAAGTACCTAACCCTAGAATTGTGTACCCCCTATAGGCTAACCCACTGTAGCCTAAACAAGCACAACATATATAATGTTTGACAGTGCCGATTGCTGGTGTTGCTCGTAGAAGGACATGAAGGAGAAATACTTCTCCATCATGCTCTGGTCGAAGTCTGCAGGTTGATTCGCGGGAGTCTCAGTAGATGTTGCTCTGGGTCTTGTTGCCGTGCCCTCCTCTGTCTGTAGGCCAAAGGCAGGAGGTGGAGTAGGAGTAGTGCCCTGGGAGCCGTTGGAGTTGCTCCTTTCCTTTTGTGTAGCCATGCTTGTCAGAATGTTACGCTCTAGCCTGTAGTGGGGTGCTCTATAGCGAGTACAACCCTTCTAGGGTTTGCTATTTGTATCCTCATTCTTGCTAGTGCAATCCTCTCTTTTTGCCTAAACTGTCTCTTGCCTAGCTAGGGCTTTCCTAGCTATGGCTCCTAATCCTACCGCTTATTTTCACATGGTATTAGAGCGATATGCTCCTGGCCTGTGGGCCCCACCTCACTGCTTCCGCTGCTACTGCTACTCCCTGTCCGCCGCGCGCCCCGTGGTGCGCGGCGTCGAAATTAGGGTTTTCAGCCCGCCGTGCGCCCCGAGGCGCACGGCGGTTTTCTGCCCGCCGTGCGCCCCGAGGCGCGCGGCGGGTTTCTGCCCCGTCACGCCGCGCGTCGCTTCCGGGAGGCGCTGCGACGGGCGACGGGGACCCGCGCGTCGCCCCCCGTCGCCCGTCGTGGCCTGCGCGCGGCCCGTACGGGCTGCGCCAGGCCCGCGCGCGGCCCGTACGGACTGCGCCAGGCCCGCGCGCGGCCCGTACGGGCTGCGCCAGGCCCGCGCGCGGCCCGTACGGGCGGCGCCAGGCCCGCGCGCAGCTCGAGCCGCCTTCGCGCGGTTCGGGAGGCTGTGCCAGGCCCGTGGGCGGCCCGTTCCTCGCTGTCCCTGCCCTCCCCGCTGTCCCCCGTGCTTCTGATGGCGCCCCACCCCTCCTCCTGCCCGTTCTCCTGAATTAGGGTTTGGGGGTGGGGGGTATGGGGGTGCAGCTTCTGTGTGCCGTTCCCTACTCCTCCTCCTCCTCCGTCTCCCTGTGCTGCAGCTGCCGCTGAGGGGGGGTGGACCTGTTGGAGCCGTTGGAGTGGTACTAAGGGGGGGTGAAGGGGGAGTGGAGCTAGGGGTGAAGCAGGGGGTGTGTGTCAGGGGGGGTGGTACTGTTTGGGGGAGGTTGAACGGAGGTTGCCGTCGTGTCGCCAGCAGCACCTGTAGTCCGGGGAGTTGCTCCGGTAGCCCAGTTGTAGCCACCTGTGCCAGTCGCCCGTGGGTCCGTTGCTCGTCTGCCACTACTTTTAGCCGCGGGGCCAGTTACTCCAGTAGTCCGGAGCGCTGTTCCGGTAGCCGCTGTGCCAGTGTGCCTCCTGTTGCCCGTGTGTCTGCAACTTCAGCCGTCGCCTCCTATCTCCTCTCCTCTCACTGTCCCTCCTCCTCCTCACTTGCCCGTTGTGACTACCACTAGCTTTGCTCATAATTGTGAACTTTAAACTATTGCTTCTTGAACTTGTGCTTAGAATGTGTGGTGACATTGTGATCCACCCTGAGCTTGTTCTGCTTTGCTTGCTTTGCTGATTACACCCCACTTTGGCTATGGGGGTGTGTCAGAATGTTATGCTCTAGCTTGTAGTGGGGTGCTCTATAGCGAGTACAACCCTTCTAGGGTTTGCTATGTGTATCCTCATTCTTGCTAGTGCAATCCTCTCTTTTTGCCTAAACTGTCTCTTGCCTAGCTAGGGCTTTCCTAGCTATGGCTCCTAATCCTACCGCTTATTTTCACAATGCTGATTGATGTTGACGGTATAGAAGTTGAATTCCCCATGATTGCTCTCATACCATGTTGGGCTGAAAAGGCCCTTAGGATCTTTTGCAGGGGTGAACTCTGTGTAGAGTTGGTGTAGTAGCGGAAGCGTTAATAAAGACTTGTGAACCACCTTGCGCTAGTATGTGAGGGCAAAGTAAGTTGATTAAAACAAAGAGATACAAGATTATATAAGAGTACAAGGAATATGAAAGGATACGGTTATAACTGTTTTACTTGTTGCTGTTGCGGTTCGATACAGTAACGACTCGGGCAACTGCTCTGTAGTGAGTCAGTTGTGTGTCCTTGCTGTCGCGCTGTACTTGTCAGGTCAAAGGTCGCTGACCTTTGACTTTCGCGTAACCTCCAGCGGCTACTTCAACCTCCGAGGGTTGACTTGCTGGTGCCTCGATATGCTTTGCTCCGCTTGTGCCTTAGTGTTTCGGCACGACAAAGGCGCTTAGGACCGATTGCTTCCAACAGCTAGGACGATTGGTATTCCCCTGTACTATTATTTGTAGTGCTGTATTTGCATGTTTTCATTATCTCAAACATTTACATTCACTCTGCTATTGAGATCAAGGGCCCACCACCACTAAATTAGTAGTGTGCAAACCTTCCTGAGGTGATCATGGCTACGATCAACTTCAGATCGCCACACTTCCCTTGCAAACGTGCCTTCCCTTGCAATATCGCCCTGATTATGCAGCACATGGTAAATTTCAACCCCAATTTAACAGTAAATACTCTGTTTAGAGTATTACTTAAAAGGATTCGCTGAGCAATAAATATGGATTAGCTGGTTCTGGAATAAGTGTGCGCCACGGGGTGCAGCATGCTGTATGGAGGACTGTAGAAACGAGTTCTCTGTATTGCGCACCCAACCTGCGTGCTGCCGAAATTCCACGGAACTTCTCTGTGGGACCTTCAAGCTGGTGCTTCCGTCAAAGCGATTCTTCTGTTCCGCAAATCCACGTCATTCCTGACGCCCATCATCCACGCAGGCAGCGCTCCGTCAAGGAGGAACAAAGTTGGTTTCACCGTCAGGAATGGCAATACCTATGAATCCACTTGTTTGTTTGACCAGGTTGGGAAGGCTCTAGTATGGTTTGGTGTGGTATGGTAATTTTCTGTGGCTCATGCTGCGGTGCTGTGGCCATCCCCTAGGGCATCCTTCTCGTCTCGTCCCATACATACTACACGGGCGCGTGTACGTACAGCTTCAATGGAGGCTCTGGCAGGGAAATAGGTCACACCACCACACAAACTGTTTGGTTGAGAAAGTGGCATCACCAACACCAATCATGCAGGAGTAGTCATGGGTTGCCAACGAGCTGTGCGGGACTTGTAAGGGCATTACCGATTTAATTATTAAAGTTTCTTTAATATCTCCGCTTTAAGGTTATTATTATTTAATCTATACCTGATGAGTTGCTTGACAGCCACTCCGATGCACGGCACGTGGTGAGCCATGAGTGGTCCATATAGAGGTTCCCGATGGGCCTCACAAGACGGTAGGCCGCTAGCCAACGGTCGTTTAGGCGCAGAGCTGTCGCCGCCTCGTGGGCTGCACGCTCGGCTGCCATCGTACGAGGATCAGCAGGGCCATGCAGAGCAGGCTCAGACGCAACAGGCTCCGGCGCAGCAGCTGGTATACTGGGAGCAGCAACAGCAGCAACAGCAGCAACAGCGGCAGCAGCAGCAGCAGGGTCAGCAGCAATGGCAGGAGCCGCCGCTGCGAATGCCGCCAGCGCCGGTGCCGTACGGCCAGCGGCAGCACCAGCAGCTGCAGCAGCAGCAGCAACCGCCTCGGCCGGGCCTGAGCGCTCGACCGCGTGCGACAGCCAGTTCGTCCTACGAGCAGCGACCGTCGTACGAGCAGCGGCCATCGTACGAGCAGCGGCCATCGTACGAGCAGCGGCCGTCGTACGATCACCGACCGCCGTACGATCACCGTGCGTCGTTCGATCAACGGCAGTCGTACGAACGAAGGCCGTTATCCGCATCTCCCGGTATCGCCGCGGTTCGTTCGTACAGCACGGACGTCCCTCCCGATTTTTACAATCCGCGACCGCTTTCGGCAGCAGCGGGCGTGCCACGTGGCCGCAGTGTGAGCGACGACGATGGGTATACCGGAGACGACTCGACGTCAGGTCGACCAATGGTTGACCGACCCGTGGAAGGCCGACAAACCGGTCCGTCATCCGGTTATCCCGCAAACCCTTATCAGGCCCCTCATCAGGCCCCTTATCAGGCTTCTTATCAGGTCCCTTATCAGGTCCCTTATCAGCCGCCGCAGCCGCCGTACCATCACTCGCAGCTTAGTCCTCACGGCGGCGACATTGCGTTGAAAAAGCCTCTTAGTCCGAGACAGGTCAGGAGCCCTAGAGCGCTTAGCCCGCTCGCTGCTGCCGCGTTCGGCATGCGCGGGGGTTACGGCGCGCCGGGGAGGGGGAATGAGGAGTGCGTGTACGGGGAAGACGAGGAGGGGGAGGAGGAGGAAGGCCGCGAGCGCAGCTTGCGCGCGGGGATATTGAGGGGCGCGGCGGCGCTGAGGGAGCGGCAAGCGGGGTCGTCGGACGACGGCGCGAGTACCTCCCCCACGTCTATTGGCTCCCCCGGGGTTCTGCCGGGCGGGGGCGCGGGATGGAGCGGAGGGGCCGGCGGAGGATTAGGCGGCGCAGGCGGAGGATCTGACCCGTCAAATCGTCCTAGCACTGCGAGCAGCACCAGCAGCACCATGAGCGGCGGCGGCGGCGGGTTTGGCGGAGGGTTTGGCGGAGCGGGGAGTAGCAGCAGCAGCAGCAGCACGGGGGTGACGGTGATACGCGGAGTCATGGCCGGCGGATCCGTGGGTAGAAGCGGGGGAACAACCCTAGCGGGAAAGCAGGTGGTGATTCGAATTCGACCAAGAGGCGGCTCCATAGACGCGTCGCACGGAGTGGGTTCCACCAGCAGCAGCAGCGGCGCTGGCGGCGGCGACGGCGGCGGCGGCAGCGCGGCGGACGTAGGCAGTGGCGCGGCGGCAGCGGGTTTCACGGCGACGGTGACGGCTGTGCTTCCGGCGGGCGCGGGGTCCCCCCGTTCCCCGTCCAGCGCGCGCAAACGGGAGGCGGGGGGGGCGGGCGCGCCTGGCGCGGGCGGAGGGAGGCTAGAGGGGGTAGGTAGGCACACATTCGCAGCAGGCAGCACAGGCGGCGATGGTGCTACGGAAGGCGGGTATTCCCGAGAGGCCAACCTCACTCTCCCTGGCAAGCGAACCGACGCCTCGGCCGAACCTAGGTTCAAAGGTGTGACGCGGTTAGGCTCGGTGGCGGCTGCCGAAGCAGCAGCCGCGGCAATTGCGGTGGCAGACGCGGCGGCTGTAGCGCAGGCGGGGAAAGCGGGGTGGGAGCCGCCTCTCAGCCCCCCAGGGGTGCCCGCCATCCCCGCGGAGGGCCGTCTGAGCAGCGAGGGAGACGTTTTTCTTGAGTATCTGCGCAAGGCGGGCGAGGGGAGGGCAGCTGCGCAGTATGACGTGGCAGTGTGCTACGGAGGGGGCTTTGGCGTGAAGCAGGATAAGTCCCTCGCCGCGTACTGGTTCCGAAAGGCGGCAGAGCAGGGATTGGCGCGCGCACAGTACGCTCTAGCAGAGTGCTACGAGGCAGGCGCGGGCGTTGAGAGAGACGAAGAGGAGTCCTTCCGGTGGTTCTTCCGGGCGGCGAGCTTCGGCAGCGGCAAGTACTTAGTCAAGCTGGGGCTGTGCTTTGAGCGGGGATTCGGCGTGACAGAGTGTCCTGTAGCGGCGCTGTACTGGTACCACAAGGCGGCGGAGCAGGGGCCGAAATTCGCAGCGCAGGTGGAGAAGCGCATGGAGGTGCTGCAGCGGCAGCGGGAGGAGGAGATCATGAGCGCGCGGGGGGAGGGCGTGCCGGTGGAGTGCATCTGCCCGCTGACAGGCAGGATGATGGAGGACCCGGTGGAGCTGCCTGAGACGGCCGTGTGCTGTGAGCGCGCCCAGGTCAAGACGTTCTGGGACCACTGCGAACTCAGATGCCCTGTTACCAACCAGGTGGGTGGGTTACAAACCAGGTGGGTGGGTTACAAACCAGGTGGGTGGGTTACCAACCAGGTGGGTGGGTTACCAACCAGGTGGGTGGGTTACCACCCAGGTGGGTGGGTTATCTAGGTGGGTGGGTTACCTATCAGGTGGGTGAGTTACCTATCAGGTGGGTGAGTTACCTATCAGGTGGGTGGGTTACCTATCAGGTGGGTTACCTATCAGGTGGGTTGGTCACCAATCAGGTGGGTGGGTTACCTCGTTAAATCTGGCCGTTTCACCTCTTTGATTTGAAAGGTTTTCCTTTTGTTCTTTTGCCGTTCCTCGTTGCTTTTGCCCTCCCGTATTATGCTCAGACTCCACACTCCCTCTGTTTGTCTCTGCTCTTCAACCATCCCTTTCAGGCTTCCTCCTCTCATGTTTAAACCCTTCACCCTTGTCTTTGCACTCTTCCCACCTTCCCTCCACCCACCCACCCACTTACTCTCCCTGCGCCAGCCTCTCAAGGTGAAGGACATGAAGACAAATCTTGCCATCCGGCGCCGGGTCACTGAGTGGAAGGTAGGCACCCTACATTTTCCAGAGCTTTTTTTGTTTTCCTTAATTTTCAGTAGCTTCTCTGTTCCTCACCCTCATTCCATGTTACCACCACCCGCGCCCATGTCTCCTCTCCCCCAACCTGTCTATCCATTCGCCCACCCCCTCTGCAGCTCCCCATCCCTCTCTCCCCGCCACCCCTCGTATTCCCCCCACCCTCCCCTTCCCACCATTCGCCATAACCCCTTGCTCCTCAAACCCTGAGCAAACCTTTTGGTTTTAGTATTTTTTAAAGCCAAATCTTCTCCTTGACTTCCCAAACCCTGCTCACAAAAAGAGCCCCTCGTTCCCTCCCCATCCCGCCATTCCCAAATTATCTCTCTACCCCCACCCAACTTTCTTCAACCCCACCCCACACGCTCCCTCTCTTCTCCTTGACCCCTGACTCCCCCCGGTGAAATCCCAGTGCAAGCGGCAGGCGGAGCAGGAGGCGCTACAGGGGCCAGTGGGGCCTCCAATACGAGCTCCTCCCTTTCTCCCCATCCCTCCCTCCCCCTCTCCCCCCCTCTTCCCCCGCTCCAGCGCAAGCGGCAGGCGGAGCAGGAGGCGCTACAGGGGCCAGTGGGGCCTCGGGCGTCCACCTGCCAGGCAGTCGAGGGCGATGAGTGGGGGACGGAAGGGGAAGACGAGGGGGAGCACGGCCGGGCTTATGGGCCGCACGAGGAGGAGGAGGACGAGGAGGACGAGGAAGGGGAGGAGGGTGTGGGTGGGACGGCGGTGGACAAGGTTGGGCTGGGGAGTGTGGGAGGGAAGGGGAGGGGAAGAGGTGGAGAGAAGGAGGGAGAGAGGAGGAAGAGCCGGTTTTCTAGGGATCTATCAGAGGAAGGGGAGAGGAGTGGGGCGAGTGAGAGTGAGAGGGAGGAGGAGGAGGAGGTTGGTGGGAGGTCGAGAGGGGCAGGTGGAAGAGATACAGGGGATGGGGTTGGAGAGAGGAGGAGGAGGAGGGGGGAGGAGAGGAGGGACAGGCACAGTGAGAGTGACACTGGTTCGTCGTATGTTAGTGATGAGGATTATGATGATGATTACGATGATGGGGAGGAGCAGAGGCACAAGAAGAAAACGTATAATGATGATGACAAGTATGATGACGAGGATGAGGGTTATACTTCTAGTGAGTACGACAGGAGCGAGGATAGATCGTCAGGCAGTGAGGGGTACAGGGAGGGGGCGGACAGGGAGACAAGCAGGAAGGGGGCAGACCGTAGGAGTAGTAGCCCTAGAAAGGGGTCAGGGAGGGGGCGAGGTAGCAGCAGCAGGGGGAGGAGGGATGAAGATGGGTCGGACTATAGTGACAGTGACTACAGCCATAGTGACTCTGACGAGGGGGAAGGCGATGAGAGGGGCAGAGGTGGCAGGGGCAGGTCCAGTGGAGTGGCAGACAGGAGCCGGGAGACAAGCTTCAAGTCAAGAGAGGGGGACAGCGAGGAGGGCGAGGATGGAGAGGAGGGAGAGGTGGCCGTGGGGCGGGCGTTGGCTCGTGATTCGTCCCGCGACCTGTCTCACAGCTACAGCCGAGGCTCCTCCTCCCGGGCGTACAGTGAGAGCGTGCCATCTGAGCCGTCCATGCGCCGAGATGCGTCCCTGGACGAGCCTAGGAGAGTCAAGGTGTCCATGCCCCGGGGTGGGTCAGTTGGTGGGTCTGTGAGAGGGGAGGGTGTTGTGAGGAAAGAAGGGTACTTGTCTGGTGAGGAGGACGGAGACGGGGGAGAGGGGCTTGGTGTGAGTAAGGGCGAGGAGGAAGAGGGTGGAGAGAGGGAATGGAAGGGGGAGGAGCTGAAGGGAAGTGTGGGCGGAGTGGGAGTGGGTGAGGTTGAGGGGTTGGGGATTGGTGGCGTCGAGACGGGGGAGTCAGGAGAAGGGTTGGAAGCGGAGGGTTGGGAGGAGGAGGAGGGGGGAGGGGGAGGGGGAGAAGAGGGATCCGACGGAGCTGCTACTGGAGGAGCTGGCTCAGGCCGAGCTGGACTATGGCTTCCCTGGGGCTAATGTGAGTGCTCTTATCACAGAGCGCTCTTATCACAGAGTGCTCTTATTACTGGTGCTCTTATCACTGGTGCTCTTATCACTGGTGCTCTTATCACTGCATCTCAATGTCCACACTTCTCTGCCTGTCCCTCTATCTCTCCTCCCCCGATCCCACCCTCTGGAGGCGAGTCCCACCAGCACCGATCACAGCACAGTCACACCAGCATTCTTCATGGCACGACCGCCTGCCTGCTGCCGCATCGCTTCCGTCCACCCTATGCACGTGATCCGCGCGCTGCCGTGCGCTGTGTTCAGATTCTCACCGGCACATCCCTCTGCGTGCCCTGCCCCTCCACCTCTCTCCCTTCTCCCCCCTCCTCTCCCCACACCCCACCCGTGCAGGTGAGTCCGCGCACGGTGAGTCGGTGGAACAGCACGCGCGAGGACAGCCTGCAGGCCGTCAAGAGCGTCGTGGCCGAGGTGAGTGAGGGCAGGGGAGGGGAAGGGAAGGGAGAGGAGGGGAGAGGAGGGGAAGGGGGAGGGCTGGAGGGTAGTTATGCGAAGAGGGGGGGAGGAGGGGGGGCAAGTTTGTTGAGGGTGATGCTTGCAAACGCCCCATCCCCCCCACTCTTCCCCTTTCGCCCCCCTTGCAGGCGGAGCCAACCAGTGATTGATTGTGGGCCGCGGTGGGCGCTGGCACGCTACCGCGAGGTGCTGGAGAAGCTGCTGCCCGTCGTGAGGTGCCTGAATAGTAGTCCATACAGAAACCTACTCCCCCCCCTCCCCCTCGTCCTTTCCACCTCCCCTCCGCCCCTCTCAGGCGGAGCCAGTGATTGACTGTGGGCCGCGGTGGGTTCTAATGCGGTACCTCGAGAACCCATCTGCACCGCATTGCATATCCCCACTTCCCCCCCGTTCTCAACCCCTCAGGCGGAGCAAGTGATCGACTGTGGGCCACGGTGGGCGCTGGCACGGTACCTTGAGAGAACCCATTGGAACCGTCTTTGCATCCCCCCCAAACGCGTTATCCGCGCTTCCCAATCCCTCAGGCGGAGCCAGTGATCGACTGTGGGCCGCGGTGGGCGCTGGCACGGTACCTGGAGGTGCTGGAGAAGCTGCTGCTCGTGCAGCGGGAAGCTGGACAGAACCTTCTGGGGTCGTGTGCAGGGGGGCCGGGCGGCTCGGGCAGGGGAGCGGGGGAGGGCGAGGGGGAGGTGTGGGAGGCGGTGGAGGCACTGGAGGGGCTGTGTGCACGGGGGGTGCAGCAGCTGCTGGATGACTTCAGGGCCGCGCTGCTGGCCTGCAGGTACGGTGTGTGGCATTGGAGCGAGGTGGGTGGCTTGTGAGTTGACTCACAAGTCCCTTGAAGGAGGGGGGGAGGTGTGGGAGGCGGTGGAGGCGTTGGTGGGGCTGTGTGCGCGCGGCGTGCAGCAGCTGCTGGACGACTTCAGGGCTGCTCTGCTCGCCTGCAGGTACCTCTCCTATGCCCGCGCCTGTGCCTGCGCGTGTGCATGCCTTTGATTCGACCCAAAGGGGGTTGTGGGAGCGCGGGGTGCAGCAGCTGCTTGGCGACTTGAGGGCCGCCCCCAACACCTGCCCCCCTCCTCCACCCCCTTTCCTTCCCACTACAGCCAGCCCTTGGACACAGCAGAGCTGCATGAGGCGGCAGCAGCAGCAGCAGCAGAAATGGCCCTTGTGAGAGATTCCAGATAATCCTTAAATGTATCCAACACCTCCCTTTTCCCACCCTCTCCCCCCCTGTACCCACTACAGCCAGCCGCTAGACACAGCAGAGCTACACGAGGCGGCAGCAGCAGCAGCAGCCCACTCGTCCCGCGCCTCCTCCTCCGCCCATCAGGTTCCCGCCCACGCGCCCCCCGCCTCCTCCCCTTCCACCTCCGCCTCCCCTGCCCCTGCCGTCACCACCCTCTCCTCCAAGTCTGGCCCGCTCCCTACCGCCACTGCTAAGCCCAAGGGGCACGCGCACAAGGGGGGTGGGGGGTCTGCAAGGGAAGGCGGGGAGGATGGGGGAAGGCACTCCGCCCCCTTCCCCTCGCCTGCCCATGCTGACAGGCATGGCGCTTCTGGTGCCGGTGTCAGTGGTGTTGCTAGTGGTGGTGCTGCGGGTGCTGGTGATGGGACGGGGTCGTTGGTTGGTGATTCTGTTTCTGCGACTGGGAGTGGGACAGGGAACAGTATTCACAGGAGTGGTAGTGGGGGCGGCGGGGGGAGTGGGAGGGGGAAGGGGAGGGAGAGGGAGGGGAGGGTGATGAGGAGGCCCACCAAGTGGGTGGGGGCGGACAAGGCAGCGGTGGGGCTGCGGCAGGTGGTGCAGGTGCTGGCTAGAGCAGGCCACTTCGACCGCTGCTTTGACATTTACAGGTGGGCGGGGTGGGGCTGCTGGTGGTTGGGGTTGCTGGTGTGGGTACCCCAGTGTGTGTGATGGGCGTTGTAGATGGGAGTGCCTCGTTGCAGTCGGTGGAGTAATCTTCCCATGCATGCATGCATGCGTGCTTGTCATGGGAAGGAAGCATGTGCAGTGGAGTTGAGGCGACCCATTGTGTGTGTGTGTGTGTGTGTGTGTGTGTGTGTGTGTGTGTGTGTGTGTGTGTGTGTGTGTGTGTGTGTGTGTGTGTGCTAGGTAAGTGTGTGGTGGCAAATTGGTGGATTGTTCAGCAATGGCAAGTGTGTAGAAAGCGAAGCTATGTGGCACAGAGTGTCATGTGGATCAAGTACTGCTTGTAACATTCACCTCGCCCTCTCCCTCCCCCTCTCCCTCCCCCTCTCCCTCCCCCCTCTCCCTCCCCCTCTCCCTCCCCCCTCTCCCCTAGTCCCCCGGCTCTTTCTCTCGCCTTTCTCCTCCCCTCCACCATTTCTCGCTTCCTACCCAAGCATCTGAGGTTTCCTCCCCTCTCCCATTCCCCTGTTCACCTCCCTCCCTTCTTCCCCACGGTATCAGGTCAGTGAGGGAGGACTGTGTGCGGGAGACAATAAAGGCATTAGAGGTGGAGCTATAAGGGGTACGGCGCACGTGAACCAGCTGCCGTGGCAGCAGCTGCAGCACCTCATGACGGACTGGCTTAGAGACTGCCGCCTGCTGTGTGAGTGGGTGTGCTTGCTGGTGGGGAGGGGTGGTGGTGAGGGGTGCTGCTGGTGGGGAGGGGTGGTTGGTGAGGGGTTGCTGCTGGTGGGGAGGGTGGTGGTGAGGGGTGCTGCTGGTGGGGAGGGTGGTGGTGAGGGGTGCTGCTGGTGGGGAGGGTGTGGGGTGAGGGTGCTGCTGGTGGGGAGGTGGTGGTGAGGGGTGCATGCTGGTGGGGAGGGGTGGTGGTGAGGGGTGCTGCTGGTGGGGAGGGGTGGGGGTGAGGGGTGCTGCTGGTGGGGAGGGGTGGTGGTGAGGGGGTGCGGCTGGTGGGGAGGGGGTGGTGGTGAGGGTGCTGCTGGTGGGGAGGGATGGTGGTGAGGGGTGCTGCTGGTGGGAGGGGTGGTGGTGAGGGGTGCTGCTGGTGGGGAGGTGTGGTGTGAGGGTGCTGCTGTGGGAGGGGTGGTGGTGAGGGGTGCTGCTGGTGGGGAGGGGTGGTGGTGAGGGGTGCTGCTGGTGGGGAGGGTTGGTGGTGATGGGTGCTGCCTGGTGGGGAGGGGTGGTGGTGAGGGGTGCTGCTGGTGGGGAGGGTGGTGGTGAGGGTGCTGCTGGTGGGAGGGGTGGTTGGTGATGGGTGCTGCTGGTGGGAGGGGGTGGTGGTGAGGGTGCTGCTGGTGGGGAGGGGTGGTGGTGAGGGTGTGCTGCTGGTGGGGAGGGGTGGTGGTGAGGGGTGCTGCTGGTGGGAGGGGTGGTGGTGAGGGGTGCTGCTGGTGGGGAGGGGTGGTGGTGAGGGTTGCTGCTGGTGGGGAGGGGTGGTGGTGAGGGGGTGCTGCTTGGTGGGGGAGGGGTGGTGGTGAGGGGGGCTGCTGGTGGGGAGGGGTGGTGGTGAGGGGTGCTGCTGGTGGGGAGGGGTGGTGGTGAGGGGTGCTGCTGGTGGGGAGGGGTGGTGGTGAGGGGTGCTGCTGGTGGGGAGGGGTGGTGGTGAGGGGTGCTGCTGGTGGGGAGGGGTGGTGGTGAGGGTGCTGCTGGTGGGGAGGGGTGGTGGTGAGGGGTGCTGCTGGTGGGGAGGGGTGGTGGTGAGGGGTGCTGCTGGTGGGAGGGTGGTGGTGAGGGGTGCTGCTGGTGGGGAGGGGGTGGTGGTGAGGGTTGCTGCTGGTGGGGAGGGGTGGTGGTGAGGGGTGCTGCTGGTGGGGAGGGGTGGTGGTGAGGGGTGCTGCTGGTGGGGAGGGGTGGTGGTGAGGGGTGCTGCTGGTGGGGAGGGGTGGTGGTGAGGGGTGCTGCTGGTGGGGAGGGGTGGTGGTGAGGGGTGCTGCTGGTGAGGGCTGTGGTGGTGAGGGGTTCTGCTGGTGAGGTGAGGGCTGTGGTGGTGGCTAGGGCAGCTGCGACTGCAGCACACCATGACCGACTGGCTGCGCGACTGCCGCCTGCTGGTGAGGACGGGTGCTGTGCTGCTAGGGAGGAGTGCTGCTGGTGAGGGGTGCGGTGAGGCGTTGTGGTGGTCCATGCTAAGATGCTCACTCCATCTTCACCATGCTAAGATGCTCACTCCATCTTCACCATGCTAAGATGCTCACTCCATCTTCACCAAGCTAAGATTCTCACTCCATCTTCACCATGCTCCTCCTCTCTCATGCTCACAACACAACCACCGTCCCTCCCCTCACTCTCTCCTCTGCCCAACGCCTCTCCTCACTTTCTCTCGCCTTCTCTGCCCTCCCCAGCTGCGCACGATAATGGAGGAGGAATTCTCCCTCGCCACTTCCATCTTCGGCATACTGCACTCCACCGCACAGAACCGCACTACCAGCCGCCGGGAACCCTCCCAACTCCTGCAAACCCCTTCCTCCACCTCCTCCACCACAGCCACCAACACAGCCTTTTCCAACCCTCGCCTCCCCAGCCACCGATCCTCCAGCATCCGAACCACAGCCAGCAAGTCCGGGAGGTCCGGGAGCACCCGGACCTTGAGGCTCGGCGACGAGGCTGCGGCAGACTCAGGGAGGGCGATCTCCCTCAAGATATTGCGGCAGGCAGGGATGCCGCGCACGCTGTCAACGCTGATGCACAATGCCAACACGCTCACGGCTGCCCAGGCCACACCAGAAAGGCTTTTCCTGCTTCTCGACATGGCTGCTACTGTAGAAGAACTCATGCCTCAGGTGGGGAGTGCGATTGGCTTGGGGGTTTGATGGTGCTGCTGGGTTGAGTTTGGTGGCGCCTCGAAACTTGAGAGGCTCTTCCTGCTGCTCGACATGGCCGTTGCTGTAAAAAAGCTCATGCCCCAGGTGGGGAGAGTGGGCAGGTCATGCTGAGGGCTTGTGGGTTGTGGGTGGGGGGTGGGCTAAGATCTGGGTTTCTGGGTTTAAGTTGGGGCTGTGGACTTGAGTCCATTTGACTCCCTCCGTCCCCTTCTCACCATGAAGTGGAACGATGTGATGGTGGGGCAGCGAGAGTCTGCTGTCCAAAGCGAGTTTTGGGACGTCTCAAAGCAGCGAGAGTCTGCTGTCCAAAATGAGTTTTGGGACGTCTCAAAGCAGTGAGAGTCTGCTGTTCAAAGCGAGTGAGAGTCAATCCTGCTCAACCCCTCTTTCCCCCCTGTGTGTGGCTGGCAGGTGGAGCGGCTGGTGTGCTGGTCCGATAGTGAAGGGCTGCTGGCGGAGTGGCGGGGGCTGACACGCGGCGTGGCGAAGGCGGTGCTGGGCACGTTTGATGCTCTCACTGCCACACTGCAGGTGCCCGTGGAGCAGCCCCGGCGGAACAAGTGGTACGTGCGATGGAAACTAGTGGTTGAGAGGAGGGGAGGAAGAGGGAGGGGAAAGTATGAAGACAGCAGTGCTGCGCACCTTTGGTGGCAACTGCAGCATGACAGCAGTACTGCCATGCTGCAGTTGCCTGTGGAGCAGCCGCGCAGAAACAAGTGGTACGTGTTGAGGAAAGGAGGCAGGGAGGGAGTTGTTTCTTTTTGAGAGGGGGGAAGAGAGGCAGTTGAGAGGAGGGGTCTGAAAGCAAGTGGTGAGAGCTGCCGTGCAAGAGTGAGTCGCACGGGCGTGGCCGGGAGGAGTCACAACTATGGGGATGGTTGAGAGCAGCAAGGAAGAAACAATAGGGGAGGCTGACTGGGTGTGACCTCTGTGTGTGCCTTGTGCATTGCATCATATCCCATACTCCGTGTCTTTTGTGCTGTGCTGTGCTGTGCTGTGCGGTGCTGTGCTGTGCTGTGCTGTGCTGTGCTGTGCTGTGCTGTGCTGTGCGGTGCTGTGCTGTGCTGTGCTATGATATGCTGTACTGTGCTGTGCTGTTCCGTGCCGTGCCATGCCGTGCCGTGCCGCGCCGTGCCGTGCCGTGCCGTGCCGTGCCGTGCCGTGCCGTGCCATGCCGTGCCGTGCCGTGTTGTGCCTTGCCGTGCTGTGGCATGCAGGCGGTTGTTCCGAGGAGAGGGCAGCAGCAGCGCCAAGGAGGGCGGGGGAGGGAGCGGGTACCCACCGGGATGGGGTGTGGAGAAGAGTGGAAGCGTGCATGCCGTCACCAGCTATGTCATCAACTACATTGCCACCTACCTGGGCAGGTGCGTGCTGCATGCACCTAGACTTGTCCCGCTCATGTGTGCCTCATGTCCCGCGCACGTGCATTGCCACACGGCAGTGGGCGTGTGCACACTGCGATGTGACCAGCTACGAGGTCAATCACGTCGCCACGTACCTGGGCAGGTGTGTGTGTGTGGGCAGGTGCATGCTGCACGCACCTAGACCCACACACGCACCTTATGTTCACCTTCCAGTGGGCGCGTGCACACTGCGATGTGACCAGCTATGAGGTCAATCACGTCGCCACGTACCTGGGCAGGTGCGTGCTGTACGCACCGAGTCCCAAAGGCGTGCCTCATGCCCCCCGCATGTGCTTTGTCACTCTGCAATTGGGGCGTGCATGCTCTCACCAGCTACATCGCCATGATGCCACCTACTGGGCATGTGCATGTGTTTAGTATGGGGTAGGTACAGCACGATGCCGACTCCGTGTATGAAGAAGTGTTTTGAGACGTCTCAAAACGATGCCGACTCTGCTGCTAGTAGCACTCACCACAGCTGCGTGTAGGGCATGCGATGTAAGCGCAGGTGGGGGTGTGTGCTGGCATGCGCTGTAGGGCATGCGTACAGCTTCCCTCGTCGCCATCTGCCTGCGCAGGTGGGTGCTGCACGCACCTAGACTAGACCCACACACATTTGCCTCGTGTCCCCCGCACGTGCTTTCTCACACTGCACTGGGGGCGTGCGCGCAGTGAGCAGCTACGTGGTTAACTAGTTTGTCTCCTAGCTGGGCAGGTGGATGTGTGCGTATGGCATGTGGCATGCACCCTCCCACCCACCCACCCACCCACCCACCCACCCACGCATTGGCTCATTGTGGGCGAATGGTATCCTACCCACCTCTCGCTACACCCTCACATCACAGCAGTGCGACGTCATCACGGGCGTATGGGTACGGCACACGGATACGGATGCTGGAGAAGCTGCTGGAGACACTCACCACTCCACACCACACCACACCACACCTTATCGAATTAAGCATATCACTCCTTCCGTGCATGCACCCCATGCCCTTGCCCCTCACAGGAGTGCGACGTCATCGCGGGCGTACGGGTACGGCACGATGCTGGAGACTCTCCAGTGGAAGGGCTGCTGCAAGCAGTCGCACGGCAGAGTGCTGTCATATCAAGCATGCCCCCCCTTCGCGTGCCTGCATCCCATGCCCTTCACAGGAGTGCCACGTCATCGCGGGGCGTATGGGTACGGCACGATGCTGGAGAAGCTGCTGGAGTATGCATGGGCAGGGGAGGAGTATGGAGGAGGAAACGATGAAGGTGAGGGGCAGGGGGGGGGGTGGGGGGAGAAAGGGGGGAGAGGGAAGAAGACTAAGAGGTAGTAGAGGTGTGGAGTACGGAGGAGGGAACGATGAAGGTGGGGGGCAGGGGGGGGGGCGGGGGGGGAGCGAGTGAAAGGCGTGGGGCATACAAGGTAGCAAGCAGAGCACGTGAGGATGTTTGGCATGTACTAGTGTGTTTTCATCCTCCAGGGAAAGGTTGTATCTATCTCTGCACTGCATTCTGTGCAGCGCGAAAGCACAGGCAGCAGAGAGCAGCGCTCTTCTCAAAGCACACGTGCAAGGACCCTCTGCTCATACATGCCACCATCGAAATGCCTTTTGACTCAACTCAAAAGGCAACCCTCTGCTCATACATGCTTCTATCGCATCCTTACCACACCAAAGATCTCGTCCCGTTGTATGAGCATTGTACAAACCCCCTTCCCTCAAAAACCCCCTCCAGCCCGCTGTCCACCACACCTCCATTGCTCTTGATCCCCCTCCATTGCTCTTGATCCCCCTCCATTGCTACTCGAACCCCTCCACCTCCCTTGGTCCCCCCTTCTCTCATGCAGGTGGTTGATGTGTTGGTATGTGACATGAAGGCCAGGGCCAGCATGTTGCACCACCTGCTGAGAGATGCTTCTCGACCCCCATCCACCGCTCTCGATCCCCATTCCACCGCTCTCGACCCCCTTCCATCCCTTCCTCCTCCCCGTGCAGGTGGTTGACGCATTAGTACGGAACATGGAGGCCAGGGCTGGCACGTGCAACAACCCTCTTCTAAATTCCCTCTTCCTCGTCAACAATATCCTCTACATCAACCGGTATGCTTTGTTGCTCTTTTCTAGCCTGTATTGTCTGGTGCGCTTTGTTCTTTTTTGCTTTCTGTCTTGTATTGGCTGATGCACTTTCTCACGAGGTTTTCTGTGTAGGTGGGTGTGTCGTATCACCTCTGTTTTGATATTTCCCCTCTTATTCGAAGTTTTTTCCGTAATATTTTTGCCCTGCTCGCACTCTCACCCCCTCACCCCATCCGCTCCCTCACCGTACCTTTGCTCTCTTGGGCAGGTTGAGTGAAAAGATTCACCTGCCCCTGGAGAATCAGAAGCTGCTTGAGGCCCAATCAAAGGCCTTCAGAGAGGCCGGGCTGCAGAAGGTAAGCAGATGGCGGTGTGCCATGTGTTACAGCGTGGCATGTGTTACAGTGTGGCATTTGTTACAGCGTGGCATGTGTTACAGCGTGGCATGTGTTACAGCGTGGCATGTGTTACAGCGTGGCATGTGTTACAGCGTGGCATGTGTGATAGCGTGGCATGTGTTACAGCGTGGCATGTGTTACAGCGTGGCATGTGTTACAGCGTGGCATGTGTTACAGGCGTGGCATGTGTTACAGCGTGGCATGTGTTACAGCGTGGCATGTGTTACAGCGTGGCATGTGTTACAGTGTGCCATGTGGTACAGTGTGTCTGTGTCAATGTGCCACGTGTCACAATATCCCGAGTCTAGCAATCTGTTACATTGCACTCATTTCACCATACAGCACACACTGCACCATAGTGTCCATTTCCCTGCCCTCTCTTCCGTCCCTTCACCTCTCAGCCACCCACCGTGCCTCTCCACCTCTCAGCCACCCACCGTGCCTCTCCACCTCTCAGCCACCCACCGTGCCTCTCCACCTCTCAGCCACCCACCATACCTCTGCACCTCACCTGACCCACTTCCCATGGCATGTCTGCTTGCCTCTGCTGCTGCTGCTACAGGTGACGGCATCGTTGGGCGGGCGCGGGAGGAGTGCTGCCATGGAGCCAAGTGAAGTCAACAGGCGGTGAGTCTGAGTCAATCAAGTCAACAGGCAGAGAGCCTGAGCGAATCAAGTCAACAGGCGGCGAGTCTGAGTCAATCAAGTCTAACAGGCAGCGAGTCTGAGTCAATCAAGTCAACAGGCGGTGAGATTGAATCAACCAAGTAAGGATGCGGCCGTGTGAGTTTCAATTCAATATCACTTCAAGAGGCCTCCAGCACGACTGGGTGATCTGCGACGGCGTGTGTGATGCATGCAAGACCCTCTCCTCGCCCCTTTTCCCCAAAACCCCGCCTCACACCTTCCCCTCCTGCAGCCTGCACCGCTTTAACATAGCCTTTGAGGACCTGGCGTTGGAGCAGAAGGACTGGGTGATCTGCGACGGCGCGTGGCGCAAGACCACGGTGCACGAGTGGGCGGCACACCTCAAGCACCTCTACGAGGAGTTCCTGGAACCCCACAGGTGTGCTGGTGATACGTGTAACGGCAGGGCACAGGTACCCCTGATAGATATGCGGTAAGGTGCACGAGTGGGCGGCGCACCTCAAGCACCTCTACGAGGAGTTCCTGGAACCCCACAGGTGCGTGTGTGTTTGCGTGTATGCTGCTGCAGGTGCAGACCAGTTTTGAGGTACCTCCTCTAGATGCGCAGTAGGGTGCTCAAGTGGGCGGCGCACCTCACGCACATCTACGAGAAGTTCCTTGAACCCCCGAGTTGCGTGTGCTGCAGCTGCACTGGTGGGGTGCTGCATTGCTGCAGTGCGGCAGCTGGACAGATGAGGGTTTCAAGTGGGGAAGGGTCGAGGCTGCAGTAGAGGAGTAGGCAGCACATCTCAAGCACCTCTACGAGGAGTTTTCTCGAGCCACACAGGTGGGATGGCGCAGCCACACAGGTGGGATGGCGCAGCCACACAGGTGACCTGTCACACCCTACCTCCTTCCTTCCTTGCACCGCCTTCTCCCCCGCCGTGTGCCCACGTGGCACAGCCACACAGGTCATCTGTGCTCAGGGGAGCACCTGAGCACGCTCCGCTCCTACCACTGGGGTCACATGCCATCTGGAACCCCAAGCACTCTTCCAGACCTACCTCCCCCTTTACCCCACACTCTCACCCCATAACCCCGCGCTATGCAGTGAGTTACCTGAGCACGCTCCTTTCGTGCCACTGGGAGGCAGGCGCCGTGGATCTACTCGTTCCCTAATACTCACCGTCCCTTACCCCACACTCTCCTGTGCCACACGGAGCGTGCCACACCACACGGTGTTACAGGAGCGTGCACTGAGTAGTTTTGACTTACCTTAAACCCTAAACCCTCCCTTACCCCACACTCTCCCCATTTCCCCTCTGTGCAGAGAGTGCCTGAGCACGCTCATTTTTGTACCACACGGAGGCAGGCGCCGCTACAATCCTCATGCACTCCTCCAAGCCTACCTCCACCCCTTCAACCCCCACTCTCACCCTATGCCACCCCCGTTATGCAGTGAGTGCCTGCACACCTCTCTCCTACCACTGAAAGGCAGACGCCATGAAGGCAGCTCGTGATCAAGATCCCACCCCGGGGCAGTGAGATCACCTGAGGCTAAAGCACCCTCCCTTACCCCATGCTCTCCTCCACTTCTGCCTCTGCAGTGAGTGCCTGCACCCGCTCTCCTCCTACCACTGGAAGCAGGCGCCTCAGGAACCTCAGCACTTCTCCAAACCTACCTCCACCCCTTACACTACATACTCCCACCTCATGGACTCTGCCCATCCCCCCCCTCTGTGCAGTG